ATGGCGGGGTTTGGCTTGAGATCATGGTGGGGCTTGGGGTGGGATCTCCATGGGGTTTGTGGTGGGATCATGGTGGGGTTTGGGGTGGGGTCCCACTGGAATGTGGGGTGGGATCATGGTGGGGTTTGGGGTGGAATCATGGAAGGGTTTGGGGTGGGATCCCCATGGGGTTTGGGGTGGGGTCCCACTGGAATGTGGGTGGGATCATGGCGGGGTTTGGCTTGATGACCCCAATGGCCCCAATTCCCCCCGATGACCCCAATGGCCCCAATTCCCTGGATGACCCCAATGGCCCCAATTCCCTGAACGACCCCACTGGCCCCAATTCCCTGAACAACCCCAATGGCCCCATTCCCCTGATGACCCCAATGGCCCCAATTCCCCCCGATGACCCCAATGGCCCCAATTCCCTGGATGACCCCAATGGCCCCAATTCCCTGAACGACCCCACTGGCCCCAATTCCCTGAACAACCCCAATGGCCCCATTCCCCTGATGACCCCAATGGCCCCAATTCCCCCCGATGACCCCAATGGCCCCAATTCCCTGGATGACCCCAATGGCCCCAATTCCCTGAACGACCCCACTGGCCCCAATTCCCTGAACAACCCCAATGGCCCCATTCCCCTGATGACCCCAATGGCCCCAATTCCCCCCGATGACCCCAATGGCCCCAATTCCCTGGATGACCCCAATGGCCCCAATTCCCTGAACGACCCCACTGGCCCCAATTCCCTGAACAACCCCAATGGCCCCATTCCCCTGATGACCCCAATGGCCCCAATTCCCCCCGATGACCCCAATGGCCCCAATTCCCTGGATGACCCCAATGGCCCCAATTCCCTGAACGACCCCACTGGCCCCAATTCCCTGAACAACCCCAATGGCCCCATTCCCCTGATGACCCCAATGGCCCCAATTCCCCCCGATGACCCCAATGGCCCCAATTCCCTGGATGACCCCAATGGCCCCAATTCCCTGAACGACCCCACTGGCCCCAATTCCCTGAACAACCCCAATGGCCCCATTCCCCTGATGACCCCAATGGCCCCAATTCCCCCCGATGACCCCAATGGCCCCAATTCCCTGGATGACCCCAATGGCCCCAATTCCCTGAACGACCCCACTGGCCCCAATTCCCTGAACAACCCCAATGGCCCCATTCCCCTGGATGACCCCAATGGCCCCATTCCCCCAATGACCCCAGTGGCCCCATTCCCCTGGATGACCCCAATGGCCCCAATTCCCTGGATGACCCCAATGGCCCCATTCCCCTGGATGACCCCAATGGCCCCATTTCCCTGGGTGACCCCAATGACCCTAAAGGCCCCATGCCCCTGGATGACCCAGATGACCCAAATGACTCCATTTCCCTGGATTACCCCAATGGCCCCAATGGCCCCAATTCCCTGAATGACCCCAATGGCCCCATTCCCCCAATGACCCCAATGGCCCCATTTCCCTGGGTGACCCCAATGACCCCGCTGACCCCGCTGCCGTCCCCGCGCAGGCTGGCGGGCGCCGGGGGCCGTAAGAAGGTGTTCCGCCTCAGCGACGTGCTGAAGCCGCTCAGCGAGGTGCAGGTGGAGAAGCTGAAGCTCGGCGCCGTGCGCCGCATCCTGCGCTCCGAGAGGGCCGTGGCGGCCAGCGGCGCCGCCCAGGTACGGGCACGCACCTGGGCACAGCTGGGGTACACCTGGGGACACCTGGGGACAGCTGGGATAACCCTGGGGACAGCTGGGCACAGCTGGGTGCACCTGGGATAACCCTGGGGACACCTGGGCACAGCTGGGATAGCCCTGGGATACACCTGGGGTACAACTGGGCACAGCTGGGCACACCTGGGGTACACCTGGGATAACCCTGGGGACACCTGGGGTACAGCTGGGCACAGCTGGGATAGCCCTGGGGACACCTGGGCACAGCTGGGAGAGCCCGGGGATACACCTGGGGTACAACTGGGCACAGCTGGGCACACCTGGGGTACACCTGGGATAACCCTGGGGACACCTGGGGAACAGCTGGCCAC